ATAATGCTAATTAATATCCTCAGAAAAATAATTATTACAGATAATAATAATCCCTTTAAAATTTTAGGTTTCCTTTTATTTCTCTCAAACTAGCAAAAGTTTTAATTCTATATTATGGACCAATTGCTTACTAGATGCTACTTAGAAAACAAATATAATTTCAATGGAAATCCTTCTAAAGGAGAATCTTAATTCATTCACCTTGTCATCTTTGAAGGCCAAAATTGGGCTGAAGTCACAAGGAAAATGAATTTAGTGATATTAGGTGAGCGGCAAGAGACCACTGATTTGGTTGACTTCATATACCCTCTACACACACATAACATGCATCATTTGAAAGCTTATTATGTCTACTTTAAGATGAGGTATGATGTGGACCTGTCAAGTGGTGCTATCACCATAGAAATGAGAAAAAACAATGGCACAATCAACACGTTAAAATGACCACTTTGAAATATTTGCATTCGTTTCTGGTAGTTTAATGACTCTATGTACTATTTCAAACATAAAATCAGATTTCTTTGTGACCTCAAATCATCACAATAGCAATCTAAAGGGTAAAACAAAATGTAATAATAAATTTGTATAGTGCATTCAGGGCCTCAAATGCAAAAATCACAAGCCATAGAACAGAGCTGAATTGCTTACCTGCAAACATTTGATTTGCAGTACAAACTGCATACACATCAGCATCAACAAGAAGCTCTAGAAATCCTGCATCTCCCCAGAATTTCCCAATACATGCTATAAAACAGCACAGATTACAAATCATATTGGTACCAAGTTCATTTGAGAGAGTCCATTTCTCTTGCCGAGCAACAGCATACAGCTGCTGATTCTTGGTGTCAATGACATGCTGCTATCCTAGTGGCTGACATTTCAGCACTGTAGGACAGACTGTGGCCCTGGCAGCTGTCTTGGCATCCACAATAGGTGCATATGCAACTGCTGTGTAGGTGCTTTTCTTTGTTGCAAGCTATCAATATCATTTGGTATTGGCAGGACATCACGAGGTAGTAGTCTTAAAGACACCAGGAGAAATCTCGGACAGTGCTCATTGGTAGGTAACAAAAGTTTATTTTCTCAAGTACTTTTTCATGGCAAGTCAGTTCTGGACGTGTTCTAGTTTTTCAAATGCTGCACACTGCATCAGAGACTCTGATTACCCGGGGAGACTAAGTGACTTTTCTTTCCCAGGGTTCAGTGAATTTCTCATGATGCTGGACTATCTGCAGTCTGTTCTTGAAATAGCACTCTAGCCACTGAATAGAAGGTATTCTTTCCATCACTGGTCTCTGTGTTGATGTCTATACTATCATCTCCTTCGTGGATGAGATTTCCACCAGCATGAAGTGGTTCAATTCCATTTGGAATGAGCACACTTCCCTGGAGTCTTTCTACTTCAGTTTTTGCAGCATTAGTCATGAATCGCCTTAGCTCACCATAATGGATGCAGAATCCCTGAAGATGTTGTATGTCAATTAAATTGCATGACCCAAACTCATGTGTAGCTGTGTAGCAAGGCTTATGTGTAATGGTGTGATAATTTTGGAACCGTTAAATACTATGCACTGCGCAACTGAGAAGCAACTCCTCTGACGGTCTTCTGAGGTATGACACTCATTGCTGGCTGAGTTATACGCCTCTTTAGCCAGCAACCAAAGGACAAACTCCTGCACTAACTGGGGTACAAATGCAGCTAACCTCTGTAAACTGCAATCACCTGGCTTTGGATAATATGCTGAGGATTTCATTTTGGCTATTTCCGACCGAAGGACTGAAGTAACATTATGCAAAACCACTTGTTCATTTGAAAGCTGTTCATCAGGCTCACTCACCAGAAGAATATCTTTAAAACATTTGGATGACTTAAGTTCCTGCTTCAGATGACTAGCAGCTTAGATACCATCAGCTAATGTCATTGCACTGCACAGAATGATGGTAGACATGCCTTGTCCATGCTGTGCGTGGAATGAATTTGCAAAACCGCAATGTTGTTTCTAATCTTACCTGTAATTTGGGACTGGAATAGCTTGCAGTTTCTACATCCGAAAGAAGTAGAGCTTTATATCTTTGTAGCAGCTTGGACCGGAGAAGAGCCTTTTTGTTTCACATAAGATCATTGTCTTCTCTTCAATCAGCTGATAAAATGCAGTGTCATAAGTGTAACTAGATGGTTTTGCTTTAAGATTTATTTTACATAAGTAGGAAGAAAGGCATGTTGAGTGATACAGTGCATCCTTAGCAATCAAGTCTTCCACACATAGTCTGTGCAATATGGCATCATCTCCTCTTTGAAGTGCTCCTCCCTTACACTGGTTGCTCTCTCAAATGTTTCTAATTTACAAAATTTCTTATTTTTCTTGTGTGTTTCTCTCAAGTAAACAATGCACCAGGATCAAACACAGGAGGATGTGCTTGCTCTGGTGGCTATGGAAGCACGTGAACATGAAGCTCTCTGCTCAGATTCAGAGTCTGTTTTCTTTCCTGGGTTCAAAACATCCCGGACATGTGCCAAATTTAACTTGCTTGTGTTTTTCCAAAAGCAACCTTGGTAGCACATTGCCTAAACTAGAAAACTCATCCAGTCGCCAGCAATACAATTCATCTCTCCTGGCTTCTGCTGGCAGCATCACAGAATTCTGTGCAGCACTGGTGGCTTCTGACAGTTTTGCATTCTTTTGATTTTTTTGACAAATAGCACATTTTTCAATGTTTGTGGGAAGTCTTTTTCTCTTTGACATAAGCTTTAAGGGACTTGTATCCTCCACATCTTCATATATTTCCCTGTGGAGGTAAAATTTCCAAGGTATATTGTTAGTATTATCACAACCACTACCACCATTTCTCATTTGTAGACATATACAAACATGTGCTAAATTCGATATAGATTAGATCTATGTTAGAATCAAAATTGCCATTTCCATTTAGTGAGCACTTGATTGAAGCCCAGCATGTAGCTGTGTATTGTCATCTCTAACATTAATACTGAGCTGTGAATAATTACATTAAAAAAGCTAGATTCTAGAATATTTCAATGGCTTATACTACATGCATAGGCAATTACAAATTAAAACCTCTACCAGGCAAACTATTTGCTATATTGTATGTACAAAAGCTTATAAATGGAGGAGCATTACATTAGGAATTCACATGCATTTATATCCACCCACTATGCAGTATAAACCATTGGCACATAATCTGCTACTACTGGTGCCCAACCTTCAGCAAGAGACTGACCTTGTCAGCAAATTTCAATTGAAAATATAGGAGACTACTATAATCACTTGTGAGACACTTTGACAATTCAGAATATGCAAAGCAAAAACATTTCATGTAAGTATATTGCAGTATGTTGATATTCACCCTTTTTATCACATGCTAAACAGCATCATCATTTCTGAAAAGAAAAACAAACTTGGCCATGCAAAACCAATATATATTTTTAATGCATTGTCATTTGCTAGCTTTGACCAATAAACAACACATTGAGGTGTTGAAATTAACAAACAGTATTTGTGGAACTGTGCAAAAAAAAAAAAAAAAAAAAATAAATTTGGGTACAATTGTTTTACAATAACCAAAAAAAAAAAAAAAAAAAAAAGAGATAAAAAAAAAAAAAAAAAGTATTTGAGGAAAAAAAAAAAAAAAAAAAAGGACATTCAATTTGGGTACCATTGTTTCACTTCACCTTCAGGCTTACAGCAACACATGACAGCTCTACATCAGACCTCATCTATAAACACATAAAATAAACTTTCCAGTGATATATGATGAGGGTATGTACATTAAACTCCAAAAATATGACCCTTTTTGGAGAATTGCTGCTCACCTATATCATCCCTTGTATCTGTGACCATTGGACCACATCACACAACCACAACACAATTTGCCCCAACAAGTAGCCTCTGCTCAAGAGAACCACAGGACTGAAACAATAGTAGGGTTGTGCCTTGGAACCACAAAACCTACAATTCATACTGTATATTGCTCCTTTATCACACCCACAGGGTGTTCTCTTTAGCTCTGGGGAGCTACTGTATATTGCACTATTTTTAGAATTATCGGCAGCAACAGCCAGGAGAAAAACTGGAACTCATATGGAAAAGCCCTATAGATTTTAATACTGATGACAACAACTGGATTCTATAGCGATCTAATAGGCTATCATTCTCTATTTATTTCTTTTCCCAAGTTTTCTGAGCCATCCTACAGCAGGGAATATAATTTTTGATTAAACTCTTTAGGACTTTTCTATAAGGGAAGGACACTCACAGGAAGTTGGGGCACTGGAGGGATGAAGTCACAAATTCGGAATGTGTGCATCTGTTTATAACATAACCTTGCGAAAATGTTCAACTAGTCTAGAAAGAAGGGAAGGTACAATTACATTTGAAGCGAATGTCCTAATATTTACTGTGCCAGAAGCTGTCTGGTATTTGGCCAGATAAGAAAATGTAATATTAAAAGGCCTCAAATGAGGCCTATTGAGGGTTATACATCAGTAACTATTGAAGACATTTCAGTGCTTTAGAAACACAAAGGCTTCATTTATTTTATTTATTTATCAGGAAGCATTCCCATCTTCCACACTTCAAAAGCCGTGGTTTTCATTAATTTTGTGAGCTCAAACAAACCTATCAGTGATAGAACATAGTGGATTAATCAATGAAATGAAAATATTCAAAAAATGTTATAGAAGAGAAAAAACTCTTAGTAGAGTAAACATTGTACCCAACAGTGACATTGGAAATCTGCACTATGTGGGGATGTGTTCCATTGCTAATGAGTATCCAAAGAGTCCCCATTAATCCTGTTTATTATGTTTATGGTTTAATCTAGTTTAAACCTGACTCTTACAGAGCATTGTGAAAGGTTTGCATAATGTTTATGTTCGGGGATAGAAAAACATTCTTAGACACTGCCCCAGCTACAGTAAACACGGCTGTGATGTAAGCCTTTATTTTGCTCATAGGGTTTCTCTTGTTTTGCCTTTGTAGATAATGGGATCCCAAGGTAACCTCTCCACTAAAATAGAAGAGCAAACAACAGAAAAAATCCGAGACATCACCAATAGCTTCCACAAGTACATGGAAAACATAATGAAACAACTTTTGAACATGGTATATGACATCAAGCCTGAAATCCACCCAAACTACAGAGACGCAGTTTAAATCCCATTGTTGTGTGCATGTATCAACAGAAGGCACACTGTTTTCCTAGTAACCCAAATCATCTTCTCCTTTATGGGATTGTCTGTATGTGAAAGAGAAACACTAAGCCCAAAGCACACTGCCACACACAATTTTTTTGGGGGGGGATAAAATTCTACGAGGTTTCACAAGCATTTGGTGGAATGGATTTGTTTTTCGTATTGATAGCTATTACCCTGTCATTTAAATAGTAGAAAGCCGACAACAGCAGAATAAGTGATTATTTGACACAGACAGCTTTTTAGTGGGTGTCTTTATTTCTTTTCTTATATAAAATGTTCTGTACTACTTAATGTGTTGCATGAAATCGTTTGTCCCAATCTTTAGTACATTTAAAATTATCAGATATGTGATAATGTTTCATTTTACTTAAAATTAAAGAACTTCTCTCTTGTTTTGAGCAAATGGATTGTGTTGGTTATGGGGATTATAGGAGTAAGCTCTTTCAGTTTCCTGTATGCATTTGCAATGACCTGTCTAGAATAATGAGACAGACAAGGTGGGTGACCAACACAACTACAATAACGCTACATACAATAACATAGTTCAGATTTCCACAGTGGTGGCTCTTCGTAATTTGTAAAGTGTAAATGCACAATATAGTTCTGGCTGATTTTACATATTTACCTGCCCATGCCACTCTCAAAGAATTGTCCTACTGTTAAATTGCACCATATACCCTACAGGTTTTACTTTAGGTCTGAAATCGATATAAATGATTTATACTAATAATGAAATAGCTTTAGCTCAAGATACATAATATATATATTTTTGCTTAATGACAGATATTCTAT